ATTTGACTCATATAGTCTCCAGAACAGATCTGACTAAAAAATCTGCAATACTGCAGACGATGGCCCGTTAACACACCACTGCTGTCACGGTCGTGACTTCAGCAGTTTTTATTCCCTGCCGAAATGCTTTTTATGCAAGATCTCACAACAGACAACTTTACCATTTTTTTATTATTAGCTCAAATGAAATTTTAAGAAAAATGAAACAAGACGGTGAAAAAATCATTTATTTATCTCTGAAAACAAAAACGCGACGCGTGACGTCATACTTCAACTGTCCAGTTGCGACGGCCATGGTCACTCATAGGTACACATGCAGCGGGAACACGTGGTAGGCTAAACCTTTTCCGCGCCAATTTGTTTGATTGGTTGACTGCATATACGATCGGTTGTGAGTGAAATAACAAAAAAGGTTATTATAAATACTGTATTGTTCCAAAATGTATGAGAACAACAATTACAACCCCTAATAAACATTTTTTTCTACGTACCCTCACATAAAAATAGCAGGAAGAAATTGTGCAAACTTATGAAGCGTGATTTGATTGATCACTTCACTATTTATTTATGACTATTAGTTATTATATGATTTCCAAGCTCATTTTACTGTACACGCGGCATTTGGGGGGTAAATATTTATTAACTAGTATTACAGATCACTTATTTCAACTCAGCGAGAATAGCAGTGAGCTACTGTAGTGTCACTTATCCTTCTAAACAGGTGTCATATTCGCAAATCTGTACTCATATTAGGCATCACTCATTTGTTTAAAACCTTGTAGGGTATTATCGCACATTCTACAGCTAGTTGTCATACTCTAGCAGTAGGCATAAATTCTTACTTCCAAAGTTTCACACCTTTTATTTCCGCGCTTGTATATGATGGATTTGAATAAATAGGTTCCATCACTCATAAATGTCAATTTTGAGAAAATTGTCACCCTTTTACAAATCCGCACGGGTATTACAAATCTTGAAAAGTGACATTTTGCCAATTTTTTTGATACTGTATTGGTTTTTTGTGACATTATGTAGGTTTTTCTACAAGATGTTAACTTAGCACTTAGTTGTACGTGTTGCTTAATCGTCATGAGGCTTCAGTTAACAGTTATCAATGTTTGGATTCTTGTCTCAAGTACATTTACTTGAGATTCAAAGCTAGAAATTAGTTGCGCATCCACTTTTTCTTATCCATTCTGGAAATTACATATGCAAATTGATAAATTTAAAAAATGAGAGAGTAAGAAATAATTATATTCACTGTACACTGTCGAATTACAAGCCATATACATGTACATGATAACACAACGCGGGCGCGGTGGTGATTTCTCGTAATTCTCTCACATCGATGTTCGTCGGTTAAGCGCCGGAAAGTGTTTGCAACGATTTTTCGCTCTACGAAAGGAAATTCCTATTTTCCTTAAAAATGAAGTGAAGTCCGACACTACTGAACTGGACCTTGCATTTTTAACAGTCATGACATTTCACCTTAACGAATTGAATTTGAAGCTTCAAGGAAAACAGCAGAATATTGCCAACTTATTTGGACACATAAATGGGTTTAAGAATAAAATTAAGCTTTCCAAGTCTTCATTACAAAAAAATGATCTTCCATTTTTTCCAAGTTGTAAAGAACATTTCGAAGAAATGAAAGATTTTGAGGAAGTTTCATATTTACCTCATATAAAATACATTGACACAATTGCAGAAGCATTCAAAAATCGATTTAGTGACTTTAAAAAAATCGAAAGCGACATTTCAGTCTTTACTCAGAAACTAACAGTTTCTGTTGAGAACGTACGCAGAGCAGGCCTTCAACTGGAATTGTGTGATTTGCAATCAGATCCTTTTTACCATGGAAGAACTGAAACTGGCTTGGACTTTTTTAAGTTGCTGCCAGGAGAACGATACCCCAACTTGCGAAACTTAGGACTTACAATGGGATCAATGATGGGGAGCACGTATCTTTGAGAAAGCAGCTTTTCCAACATGAAATTCATCAAGTTAAAGTATAGATGTTCCCTCTCTGATAAGTCACTTACTCAGTTACTTCGTTTACCAACAACAAATATTAATGTTAATATTGATGCATTAGTATTAGAAAACCAACATCCTCAAATGTCCCACTGCTCTTTTTGTAATTTCATATTTTTTGAATAAATAAAAATAATAGAAAAACTATTTTGTATACCATATAGTGTATATACCTATTAAAACTCAGTAATAATTTTGCATAGAAAGATTTTATAATGTGGCCCTCCAAACTGCATCTTTTTTGAAGTGGCCCTTGGGCCACATTAAGTTGGACAGCCCTGTAGTATAGTACATACACCTTAGGAAAAATCATTGTTATACATGGGAAATCATTTCTTGGCAACAGCGTATCGGCTCGTCTACTTTCATCGCTATTCGTACATATTTCCTACCGTTAACCGCAGACCTGTATCACGAATGAGAATAATAGGCAGATACGCTGTGTTGCCAATTGGAGTAGAGCTTCCCGAATTGTGGGGAATTTAGAGTTAAGTGTTGATTCATTCAAGCTTTTAATCAGCATGGCCTAGACGTTAGAACTTCATAAAGATAACATTGAAGCTGAATGCTGCTGGAGTATAGTGTTTCGAATATTCAAAGCGGAGCGGGACACTATACTCGTTCAATGGGTCATCAAGCCACAGTCTTTTCAACAAAGAAATTATTTTACGAAAATGCGTTATATTTTTACGATTTTGTCGTCACCAAATCTCTGTTTCTCAAAATGTACGTCTATTGTAGAATTTTCAGCAAACTAAGCAAGAAACGTGATCTAGTATTTACTCAACATTACGGATTTCTCGAAATACATTAAAAAATGTGACCTAGATACCTAACTGCCCCAAGCTCTTTAAATACAACACCTTAAACCAGGGTTACCAGGTGCTCAGTCACGTTGATTGTCATGTTGTACTGCGCAAGTCAGCAAACAATCTGGCGTAATAAACGTTAGGAATCATCAGGTATTGCCAGATTCCCGAATACCGGGCACCATAGTAACCGTTATAGTTGTCCTTCAAAGTTGTCAAATCGCCCCTATGGCGCAAATTCGCCACACCAGGCAACTGTGCTATAAACAAACCCTGTTTATCACTACTAATTGATAGTCATATGGTAGTTGTAGCCCTATCTAGCGGTCCATGATTTCTCTCAATACTGTTGTATCTCTACTGGCAACAAGAATAGGGATTACAAAATCATTTATACAACAATATACAAACATGAAAAATATGATTTGAACCATGAAACATTAATACAATTTTAATAGTTTGAGTTTTTTTCATTTTTGGAATACTCTTATGTGGAATCCGCAGCTATTTTTCTCGAAATTTGGGTAGACTTAGATTTCTTAGAAATATGACATATTGGTATCGGCAACTCTGCGAATGGGAGAAACAAATCGCATTTGTTGAGCGCATCCGTCTAAGCAGTAGGCGCCAGCGCCCGTGCTGCCATCTCTCTCTTTTATCACTCTTCTTGTCCGTCACACTCCGGCGCTGTCACATAGGATCCTACAATCGAGTGTCTTTCACGCACCTACATACTTTTGTATATTTCCATCTCTCTTCCTCATCATAATGTATAATAATGTTTTTTCCCAAGGATAGCGTCTAAGCACGTACCAAGAGCTATTACAATGATTTATTAGGCATTGCTTACTAACAGTTTTACACCAGAGTTCCAAAGAAATAGGGCTGTAAGCTGAACACATTTATTTTTGATGAAAAGCCCAATTATTGCTTCAATGGTGCTAACAAAACGTACGTCTTTTTGAAGCCAATAGGTATAGATGATGTTGCACTACATAAAAACTTGTACTAGAAGCTGTTTCGGAAGTTTGGAAAATGTAGAGTGAATCTACTTTACGCCTTCTTTTAGATATGCAGATTCTCTGCAATGCAAATTTAGGTACCCTCATGCCTACAAAATCTTCACCTGTGTAGCACACATTAAAAAATATAAGGCAACTTTATAAATCACCACTATTGCCTGTAATATTGATTACGTGGAAACTAATTTTTAATTTGCCGATAAACGATGGAACCACCATTAGGCCCGTCTACTTAATTCTTAATTCTTCAAGGGCCGACCACAGTCTAACAGCTATAATTAAACCAGATAAGGTTAATTTGCGAAGCATTATCTGATCGAAATTGTTTTCATTTAATGCTCCCAAATTTTGTATACGAACGTCTTGTTAAAAGGTAATTCTTCTACTAGGTTTGCAAGAAAGCAAGGTGTGTGCAAACTTATTCATTTTTTGCCTTGGACAGTGCCATCCTAGTGTCCTCCAAGAGGTGCTGTGACAAATATACTCAATATTATCTGATCTATTCCAAGCAACGTAATTGTCTTAAATTATCTGAAAACTCATTGTGTTATATCTAGCGTGGAGAAATTTTTGTTATGGTAAAAAATTATCCGATTGGGTACGATAGACCATAAAAAATACTGATTTGCTTTCCGTAGGTATTGTATAAGTAGTAGTAGTAGTGGTGGGGAGACGAAGCCAGGCAAGCAGTGCTCCTTTGGCATTTTTGCCAGGTATTGTATAAAAACGCTGCAGTGGACCAACCGTATCACGATTGTTACTCCTATAATTCCGTTCAACAATGAAAAAAAGGATGTTTATGGATTAAACAGTCCATGTGACGGAAGTGAATGGAGTGAAATGCCCCCACGCTTTTTACTCTGAATTGAGTTATTCTGTTTATAACCTAAATGCAGCTGGATTGGGCACGATAAGAGGTTTTAGTGAGTATTTTCGGAGAATATCACACTTTGAGCAGGAAAGATCGATACGGTAATACAAGGCTAAAAGCACTGGATATGGCAGTAAGAGGCATCATCGAAATACATTTAAACAATCGAACTAGGCGTTTGGTTCTTGAGATTTACACAATTTCGGCGCCTCTGGTTCTGGTCGCTCCATTGTGATTCTTTTTTAATACCCAATTATGAGGCACGTGCTCTCTCTGTAATGTGCGCAAATTTGCGGTTCATATACTTAATTGATGTCCCATTATCCAATGGAAAAATAAAAACGTCACCTTATTCTAATAGCGCATAATGGTTTGAAACATGTTTCTGTTCAATTATGCAAAATAGGAGATGCACTTTTTTATTCATTACGTTGATAAGATCTTGTAAACCATTTGCTGCTTATTGTCCCTGATAATACTGCCTACCTACTTTAACTGGTCGACGGTAATACATGGAGCAGCTTAAAGTTCAATCATCTTATCACCCTCGACATTCATTTTATTGACATAAAAGTCATCGACAAGATAAATTCGTGAAACAAACATACCTTTTAGATATTGTTGAAAATCTTTATTATCTAATGGCCCATAAAATCCGTCAAGCAATTCATCATTTTTAACATGATAGAAATGTATCATTGACACGTTCCACACAAAATGAGCCAGTCATGAACTCGTAGTCAGTCTTTACAAATATTACTCAAAATTTTGTGCTCCTGAGCTAATTAGTATTAATCCAAAGATATACTGAGAACACAATGTGAATTTAGCAGCATTTCAGTAAGTCTTATAGGGTTTCTTAACGTATGTTTCGAAAATATTGTCCCATAAACGTACAAATTCTCCTCGATAGTTTTGCTTTATCGTATAGTTTTCAGCAATATGGAGGTAATTCAATTCTCTGGGGTTCTTTACTGGAGTCCATAATAGGTTTTGCAATTCGTTATCCTTTTGGGGAGTTGGATTCCTAAAATACCCAAAAGAGAATTAAGGAATGTTAATCTTGTGGCGGATTAACTTACCCAAATAATGCAAGATTCATAAGAAATTTCCTCATTTTTCCGCAATGCTTCATTTCCAAATCTGTTAGTATAGGATCCTTGGGTAAGTATTTGGAAGTGAAGTAACATGCCAGGTCTTCGCAGTGTCCAGCCCCTGATAGAATTTAAACATCAATATTCATTAAAGTATAATTTCTGCAATTTTTTTTGTCACATTGATTTATTTGTATTTTCCAAAAACCAAGATGACCTGTGCTAATTATATACCCAGGCTCTTTTTGCTTTTCTTTGACTACCTGAGCGTTTGAACGGGCAATTTTTTACTGTATTATCAAGCAGCAATAGAGTAGCCAGCTACATAAGGCAATATTTTGAATGTTTGACATTTTTGAACTATTTTAATATTTAATATTGCTATCAGATTTCTGAACTATTGGAATCCTACTTAATTACATACATTCTTGCCTGATAAAAAATTCTGAAAGTTGCATATGTGTACTAGTTGTAGACAATTTAGCTGATATAACCGGGATATTAAGATGGGCTATAGTTATAGCCAAGTGTTGCAACAGAAATATTGCCTGTATGGGAGCTCCATAAGGAAAGGATATGTTATAAGTCTAAATATTTTTTGTTACAGAAGATAGTATCCTAACATATTTGCGTAATGATCACGATTTGAATTACCTTTAATTTCCGTATCAATCAGATACCCTAAGTTCTTGTAATATTCTTTGGCAACCGGAATCGTGTAATCATAAACGTAAAAAAATACGTTGGTGTACTTTGACAGCAGTCTTGATGTTTTCATCAGAGGCCTCAGGAACATTTTGTCTGTAAGGTACTAAGAATTTTTGTTTAATCAGTAAGCTTTCATGCTGAACTATGTAAGTTGCAATCATCCTTATCAACAAAACTACTATATATTATTTATATGAACACCAAGGTGGCTTCGATTATGATGTATATGTTATAAATGAATAATAATCGAAAACTACTATTTACCTGTGTTATATTTTCTTTGGATGCTGATGCTAAAAAATCGCCCTGAAAATATGCCTTTTTGATCATTTTGGCTATTTCATACTTTTGCCGTTGATTCATAGTATTCAGTCTTGCAAGTAACATTGGTGGGCTCAAATCGTATAGAAGCAAAAGGAACCTGACTGGGCCAGTAACTAAAAAAACAAGATTCATACGTGGTCATACGTAATTTTACTATGGGTTAAAATCTAGGTATTCAAGATTAGTGCGTCATAGAGGGTGCAAGTGATAGTAGTCTATTATTCATGCAACGTACTGTATGTGACTATTGCCTATTGTATCAGAGTTGATATCAGTTTTGATGAAAAAATATTTGTTTTACAACTTTTACAAATAGTTAGAAATATTACACAATATATACATACGAGACCCTTCCCACTTCAGTTGGCCCATTTGTACCAAAATATGCCTTTATAAATTAAACCTGACGAAACTATTTACTTCTAAAACAATTTATTTTCTCAAAAACATTTTAGATGCATTCTAGTCGTAAAAAATAGATATTTGAAGTCACTTAGACCTATAACTAATAGAACATCTGACGAAATAAACACTGTGCGAATAAATGCGCGAAGCTAACAAAGCAACAATTGAAAGATTACCATTGGGTAACATCACCACCAAGTTTTGTCAAAAATTTGGTGTAAAAAAATCCCATAGTTCTTGAAGCTTTTGTCTCAGTTCGGTGATTGTACGAGCAGGATGTTGTCATAGAACCTTTTTCATCTCGTGCCACAAAGTTTCAATAGGTGACAGATCTGGACTGCTAGAAACCCATTTCAAAAGTGGTACATTATTTTCTTCCATCCATTTTATAGCCTTTTTTGAGGTATGATACGCTGCACCATCTTGCTGAAACACAAAATCTTGGCCGGATGTCAAACATTCTTCCATCACTGGTAAAAGCGATTCTTCTAAAATTACCAAATATCTGTTTGTATCCACATTTCCATCAATAAAATGAGGTTTTCCTACTCCTTTTGATGACATACTGCCCCAGACCATAATGGATGCTGGAAATTTCACTTTTCTCTTCAGACAGTCAACACGGAATGCTTCAATGTCTTTGCGAATAACTCTACTGCAACTGTCACCAACACAAACTTCGAATCGGGCCTCATCACTCCATTGTATTCCACACCATTGTTGAGGTGTTCATTGTCTATGTTCTTTAGCCCATCTAAGCCGATTTTTCTTTTGCAGTGGCTTTTCTTTGGCCTATAAACAAGTTATGTAACTTTAGGGTTTTTACTTCACTTTTTTTTATAAGAAAACTTACCTTGCAAGTGCTAAATCCCAGGTTGTGGGCCTCTCTATGAGTTGTGGACCTCGAAATTCTCCTTCCAACAGCGTCACTCCACAGAGCACTTAATTGTAAATAATTGGCACGCCTATTTTTCACGATTATTCTTCTTAATGGTCTTCGGTCGGCTTTTGTAATATTACTTTTTTTCACATATCGTGGCTTAATATTAACTGAACCAGTTACGTTATATCTTCTAACAATTTTTCTCACACTGTACCGCGATAAGTCTAACAAAGTTGCAATTTCTGAGTTTGATTTCCCAGAACTAAAAAATTCAATTATCAGTAACCGAATTTTCTCACTAATAACCTTTCCTCTACCCATTTTGAAAACCTTAACTAAACAAAACTTTTTTAAACGTATTCTGACAGCTGTGATTAATAAAAACAATTGTCTTGGCTTTTATTTTTCACAGCCACCTATGCGTTATAGACTTATTTTGCATTGAAATGAAAGTAGGCTGATATGCTGTTATTGCAAAATGTGTTATTTTTATGCTGCAAATTTGATTAAGGAGTGATAAAGTTGCTGTTTTCTACTATATATTATCAAAATATTCATTGTTAATATTTTAAACCTATAACACCCTGCTACATTTTTATTATTTGTGTTTGATAAGAAAAAAACTAAGATTTCAATAGTTGGGCCAACAGAAGTGGGAAGGGGCTCGTATTTGATACTAGTGAAACCATATTTGCTAGGAGCATCAGTCATAATGACTACTTTAACTACGAAAACCAAATAAACATGTTTTGTATTTATTAGTTCTGTCGGAAACTTCTACACGTTTTCAGGCCAAAATGAAATAAGTCTTTTTCATGCCTTGAATAAACTTTAATATGTAAGTATGAAGTGCATCATCATTTATGACATCTTGTTAAACTGATGGCTGTCTGTATCTCATTTATTATGAAAGGTCTTATCCATAGGTCCAAAAAATTGATTCCTTTCTCTTCAGGTATCGTTTTCGTATTGTCCATCCAGAGTATATCTCGTAAGAACAAAAATAAGTGAAGCTTATGATGCAGTTGTCAAGTTATCGTTGGTTGTCAGAGCGGTCCGTGGCTTCCGCGAAAGCAGCTTCAGCGCCTTATTGGTGATTTGATCCTCCCCAGGTGTTTTACGCACTTTAAGGTCTTTAATATGACCTTGAATCTCTGATGGTGTGCAATGCGGGATCTCGGGAGATTCCGCTGATGTGCTAATGATGCAGTTGTATAATTTTTCTTTCTACTAAACGTCACCGCCATTTTTTCCTTAGAGTGATGACTTAGAACTATCTAACTGCTGACAATACATCTCCGATTCAGCTTTTCGTTTTGTTTCAATAGCTCGTAATGTATTGGCCCACAAATGCCTCACCATATACACAACATCTTCTTGAGGTTCAAAATCAATTTGGGGGCGGAGGAAGCAGGTTTTCTCGATTCACAAAATGCTGTTTCCCTCACCACATTTTCATACGAGTTCCCATCTTGATCGCCTGTTATTACCCGATCCAAGAAAGGTTCGACTCTACTCTGTGCAAAAGATATGTCATGATCGTGTTTCAGTTTCTTTCCACCCAACACATGTGGCGCCCAGCGCGAATATCTTCACACTAATCCTAATTTCCAAATATGGTCCAAAATAGTTTGATCAGCCGAATAGAACCTTTCCATGATGCCAGATGTTTTCGAAACATGCTTTTGATAGTATTGTCGTCGATCATAGAATGTCACTCGTACAATCGTTTATCGGGAAGTTCACCCGTTAGAAATTTTTCGAAGCATCTTCTGCTGTTCTGTTAGAGTCCGCATCTCCACTTAACTGCTTTTAGTAAATTCTTACGTGTCTCTGTTGCTTCTTTTTCCTTGTTAGAGTTCACACATTAATGAATCTCATCAGTAACCACGGATACACTATAGCGTTTCTCTGAATTTTAACACGAATCGTCTTCAGTATAGTTCTTTTGCGAGACGAGCATGTATACATTCAGTGGTAGAAAAGGTGAGCCAGATATACGTCAAATAAAGATGCGTTTATGGGCATAATTTTGCGTAAAATATCATCATATTGTTCCGTATTTCTTGAATGATTTTTAAATGTTTTCTCCGGCCCCAGGTCCCTACAACCAGCACTAGCGCTCCAGAGCAATTGATCCTGTTGTCCCACTGGATTGCCTTTGGTTATAGTTGCCTGATGTTAAGTTGTGTATAAATAAAATGTTGCTGTTTGGCCAGTAGTCTCTCTGTCTTTAAGTCCATAAATTCTTATAATCGGTACACTCAGAGTGCTTAAAGCAAAAGCAGGCGGCAAAAAGAATAAAGGTCAGTCAGAGAACACAACATCTTCAGTGGCAGAGTCCGAAAAATCAGACAAGAAGAATCTCGTGGTCTCTCAGTGTCGCCTGAGTCTGACGAAGAAAATAAGGACGATTAGGGATCAGACACCGAAAGGTCGAAAAATCTCGCCTGGAAGCTAATAAATGTTTACTCAAATGCCTCTATTGGAAGAGAAGGGCATAGAGAGATGTCAAAGGGGGCAGAAGGCGTTTGCATCTTAGAAAGAAAAAACAAAGAAATAAACAAACAACATTAACAAATAACATTACAATGTAATGTTTAATTTACACGCATAAAATTAGAAATTAAATATCATATTCACTTATTCTGTCAACCACTGGTCCAAAGGAACACAGCAGTATAATTTTTGCAAGGGAAGCTTGTATTCTGAATAAAAGTTCCGCCATGTATCCCTTATTCAAAAATATATTTTCTCGATTACTTACGCACAGCGAAGAATACTGTCTCGAGACTGGTCATTCCCATTATTATAGGTACTTTTGCAAAATTTCCATTTTCAAGTGAATTGTATGTTAGATCGGTGATAAAAGCGTCTTTATGGTCAACTTCTATTGTTGGTGTAAACGCATAGCCATCCATTAACATTGATGTTAGGCGCTACAAAAAGTATTTTGATTTTATAGATATATAAAGATGTGTTTGAAAATCTGCGATTACCAATATGCTGACTGTTGTATTTCTGTGCCACTTGCGAAGCTAGTCAAAGACAAAACATGAATGTGTATCAAATATCGCTTAGCTGAGATAGAATTACTCCGATGATATACTACATGAAATTTTCATTGTCAAATTTTACCAATTTCAGCGCATATTCAAAGTAGATCGAATTTCAGTTTTTTATACAAATCTTACTTCAGATGTTCAAACCCATTTTATCTAAATATGAAGGAAAGTTAAATTTTTTCTTGTTTCTTTTGCAAGGTTCAAATATAGCAGTTTCTATGACAATGGTGGAGTTTGACTGCCTTTTCATGCGGGCGATAAATTATCGCTCAGCAAAAAAACGTTATAGTTTCGAAAAGTTATATTCCGATAGAATTGTCATCTTGAAATTTTGTACGTGAACTGATGACAACATACCAACTTGATGTTCACGTAGGATTCCATCTACCTCCATGTAACGTTAGAAGTAGAAGCTTTCTGCTTCTATTGATTATCTAGCGATATACACATAAATAACGCGCGTTTAGCATTACGTATTATGCAAAATCGCTCTTCAATACTTCTCAAAGCGCGTCGGAACGCCTCCCCTGTGAATGGCAAGAATACTGTCATTGTTGTTTAAAGTTTGTAGGCAACGTAGATATTTCAGTAGTTTTATTTGGGATTTCCACTGTCTATACAATTCTTGAGATCATCACGTTTTCAGAGATAAGATCTTCAATCATCTTCAGGTGACTTTCATGACGTGTTCTTCGGGAGATCTGCCTGGTTGTTCCAACCGTAGCGTCTTGATGCTGCTGAGACCATTTGCAGCACACAGGCAAGTTTAGATGACGAGACCCGCAAGGTTAAGGAATAACTGGCAAATAACGAATACCCAAGAAGAGTAGTAGAAAAAATTTTGTAAGAGGATACTACAATCAGGAGAAAGGTAGTTCTAGTACAATAAGAATCGGAAAGCAGTACCACATCGAATCCAGATTCTCAAAGAACAGAACGGCACATTCTCACAAAAACCAAACCAGGAATGAAAATCAGGACACCAGGAGCTGCATATACTAGGTGCCGTGTGAATGTGGAAACCTTTTCATCGGGGAGACGAAGAAACCAAAAAACACACTGATAACGCCGAAAATTCAAGGAGACTGCCACGCCTTTTTTTTGGTAATTAATAAAATAAAATGATAAATACTATCTAACGGTTGGTCCAAGCAAAACCGTTGTCTAGTGGCGTGCAAATTTAGACCATAGCTCAACAAAGCGGTGATTAGGGGGGGGGGTTGAGTTAAGAGCGCCAGTGACTTAGGACGGATTAAGCCACAACTCCCCGAGATGTTAGTCGGAACTTGTTTTGCTTGACCACCACACAAAAGGAGAATCTAACAGAGATGACGAAATTTAAATAACAGTACCCACAGAGAGAGCCAAATAAAACAAGATATTAGATGTAGGATACGAACCGTAATATGATAATAGCAATATAACGATAAACGTGAAAACATCTCATCTTAGAAGATTTCGAAGTACCGCCCCGTACCATTTCATTTTTACTACATGGGCAGTACGTAAAGAATTCCATATGGTCAACAATGTCAGGGTAATATTAAAGTCACTTACTTGGTGACGAAATGACAACATACACACAATATGATCGGATTGTCGGGGGCAACACCTATTTTTAGAAAAAGACTTATGAGTATCTCCCGTATTCAACTGACTCATGACATCACATGCACAAATCTACTATTTACCATTACATTAATGTACCCCAACTACTACTACGGATTCGTCATCGACTGAATCACGGGATCGTCACATAGACTGATCATTAAGGCGTCACACAGACTGACTAGTAGTCGTCACACAGACTAACTCGGAGTTGTCTCACAGACTAACTCTAACTCTTTAGTCGCTAGGTGTATGGTCAGACATGCCGAGTTTAACTACAAGACAAGGAACCGGGATATCACGCTGGCCAAGGGCCGTTGTGTCAATACCCCAAAGCTCCGACAATACCCCTGAATCAGAGGTAAGCAAAGGCCACCGTGTCAACATTCAAAGCGCTCCGGCGTTTCCCCTGGCAGAGGAAACCGAGCAGTAAGTAACATAACTACCTCAACCCAGCAAACGGGCTCCGAAAATCCCATAACAACCCCCATAACCTGGAGGCGTCCCACCTGCGGATATTCATTAACAAGTCGTAAGCCATCAGTTAAATTATGAAGGTAAAAAGTATAGCATCTTTATAAACATGGCTAAAGACATTCATGATCATGAATATAAAAGTGTTATAGTTATCAATCCATGCAGTACAGCAGATTAAAAGAAACACTCAGTGATTGCTCACCTTTTAGGTAACCAAAACACTACACCCAATAGCACATCAACACTGTAATCAAGTTCACAAAGAGCACTACTTGGTCTGAGAAGCGATCACCTCCACGCAATAATTGAAATGCACCGCCATCCACGCCCGTATCTTTAACAAAGTTTATCCTGGGAACAAGTACCCAGAGAAGGAATGGAATGTATAATATAAACAGGCGTAAGGGCCGTAGCGCTGAGTGACACTAAGCGGCCTTGTGAACCTACTGGAAAGGTTTTGTGTGCTACAGGGTTGGGCTCGCATGCAAAAATGTGTTTGAGATATTTCGTAAGTGCTCCACTACCGGAGTGCGAGTAATAAAAAAAAGGATGTTATAAATCTTAAATACAACTTGACAAAATTATTTTTCGAGATAACCCCGCGAAACGTCTACCATGGTATACGCCCGAAGTATTTACATATATTTTGTGCCTAAATATTAAACTTATCTGTAGGTCTTCTTTGTCAGGCGCGGCCGAGATGTCCTCAACTCTGGTCAAAAAGTGGCCCCAGTAGTAGGAACGTCACTGGGCAGGGGCTGCTTGCCTCGTTGCCAAAAATTATGGTAGTAAAAAAAACCCTAGAGAGAGAAAGACTGTTTAAAAATCTACTCTACTCTTGAAGCAAAACCATGTACTTTTTTGTACAAGAAAAGTAAAGCAAAGGCAGAGAAAAGATAAAAATGTACTAAACTAATATACCCTTGTTCTAAAAAGTTATGGCAGCTCAAAAACCAAAATCATGATCAATGTAATAGATGGTGCCATGTAGGCACTGCCCCCATATTTGAATACGTAGAATGTCCAATAAAATCAAGAAGTGTCTAAGTATTTTAATAAGCAATAATAAATGTATAAAGATCTATGAAATTGTTAATTAGAATATTTGACCTGTTCACATCAGAGTTTTTTTCAAGGGGATGGCTTCCACCAATTTGCAAAACTGCAACAAGATGCAACCAACTGGAGGAGAAAGGATGATGATTGAAGAAACAGAAGAGTTCTTTTGACTAAAAGTAAACAGATATTGAACGAACGTCATCAGGACACGCATTAAGGTACGTGGTCCGAAGGTACATAAAAAAGAACTTGCCGCTGAGGCTCAAAATCCCATAACAAAAAATGGAAGACGTAGCACCCAAACCAAAATGACTAAACTTAAGTTTCCCAAAAAAAGGGTAGTCCATGAATTGGCCCTTGGGGCCTAATGTCCCAGAGTCCGGCAAATGACGAAACGTCCCCTGCACCACGACCTCAACGGAAACAGAAAAACGAATCACGCAGAACACGTAACGTTCTAGAAGAAGGTATCTTGAGTGGCCTTGAAGAAGATATGTTTTATAGGAAACCAACTAACGGAGAAAAACTACAGAGTTTTTTGCTGATCATCAACACCATACTGAATCGCTGAGAAAGAAAGATATAATACGAGTGGAATTATACAATCAATAAACTATTAAATTTGCCAAAAGAAAATCATTGAAAAGGGTTTGGTCTAGGAATGGGCACTCTATTATCAATGAAGAGAAATTTAAATTACGGATAAGTGATAAATAGTAAAAAAAATGTTACGTGACTTTGGCGTGTGACAAGACAGCTTACAAATCCATCAACAGCAGCGTGTATACGTATACTCGTATAATGCCAGCCTAGAAACCAAACCCATATGGGAAGCTATCAATAGCAGCATCGAGACGCTATTGTTGGAACAACCAGGGCAGACCTCCCGAAGAACATGTTATCACCACCAACCAGCGACATCACCTAGGATACGTCAGCGATAACAGTATAAATAGCCATGGAAGGAACTTGTATGCCAGTTCACCTGAAGACGATTGCAGGTAACTTATCAGTCGAAACGTTGTGATTGCCAACAATACATAGACAATAAAAATCCAAAATAAAACCTTTGATATACTGTCTTTAGTATACGTACAAAGTCGCAGCATCTATTTGCTCCGGAGTATAGTTTCAAAATTATACCTTTAACACCATGCATCTCAGTAAGACAGCATTTAAGTCTCATGTTTTCCGTCTTATAATTACCTAAACAACCAACCTTTGAAGTTTCGCAAGTTACCTAAATAACAACGTGTATATACAGGATGTCCAATAAGCACCACGACAAACTTAAGGAGAAGGTAGGCTTCGCACTGACCTCCCAAATAACAAAAACTTACCTATATAAAAGTGTCACCATTTTTGAGATATTGAATTTTTTCTTAAATTTAAAAAAAATGAACCTTTTCATTTGTGGTCTTTAGCTGCATGTACAAAATTTGTATATGATAAAGCAACTATCTAGAAGTATTTTATTGAAAAAATAAAGAAACTATAACCTTATTTGTACATCCAGCTAAAGACCACAGATGAAAAGGTCCGTTTTTTTAAAATAAGAAAAGATTCAGTATCTCAAAAACGGTAACACTTTTATATAGGTAAGTTTTTGTTATTTGCGAGGTCAGTACAAAGCCTACCTTCTCCTTAAGTTTGTTGTGGTACTTATTGGACACCTTGTGTATTACACCCAATAATTATATACTGCATTCTTCAAAAACCTCAATTAACATTTTGTGGAATCCGTATTATGTACTCACAACTAGGGTGACCTCCAAGTTGGCCTTTTGCAATTTTTTACTAGGTAATCTTCTCAACGTCTCTACGAATTTTGTAGTATTTTGGTACGGGATCCCTAATGTTATCGCCACGTCTTGTGCAATACTCTTGGGACTGAAACATAATTTCATGGTATTGCTCAGCTTCAACTACATATAATAGTGCGCAACCGAGATTATGATGTTCTGGCCATACCTTCGCTGGTTACCCCACTCGACTAAGGTATCTCCGCTAAGAGGAACTGCAGCACTGAATAGCCCCTTACTTTTTGGAGAGATGACATGATGCATGACACTGTTAGCACCAGCACTTTGTCCTATGATTACTACCTTCTGTGGGTTACCTCCAAAATATCGGATATTAGACTTTACCCAGAGAAGCGCTAAGTGTTGATCTTTCAAGCCATAATTGCCTGGCGAAGCTAGGTCTTCAGTGCTTAAAAAACCTAAATAATATTATACGATATGCACTAGGTCAAAGAATGTTTGTGCTTTTATCTATGTCTATCTTCACAACACCATATAATATCTTACTTACCAAATAGGCCTAGCCTGTAGTTTGCAATTACAAGAATAGCATTCTGGTCGATGAAGTGCCCCGGTCCATATATCTCATCAGATGATGTCCCTTCATAAAATCCTCCACCATATATGTAGAAGAATACTGGAAGACTTCCTTGTTCCTCCTTTAAATTACCCTAAACGTCGGCATACAGTGTATAATCATTGATTAACGTAGTCTACCTGAAGATAGCCAACTTAACACTTTATAGTATCAAGTTAACACTATACAGGGTGTTCCTTAATGATATGCGAATATTTAAGGGTGTGAATCTACATGAAAAATTAATGTTAGTTTGCTTTATAAACTATGGTCCAAAAATGTTTCCTTACAAAAACTCGGGGTGTTGAAGTTTTAGGAAAAAAAAACGGATAATAATTAATATTTTCAGAACCGCTTCAGATATTTAACTGATATCAAGTACGTAGTGAAAGTTAATTAAGCTGCATATTTTTCAATGCAAAAATAATTTGTAGTTTTAACAGTGGCATGCGTACGGGTATTGACATAGATATTTTTTAGGAAAAAAATGGTACGTCAATGGTTTCTTGCCAAATAAAAATTATTTTTGATTTCCCCGTTCTATTTAAAACAAATGCTCTCTCTTCAATTGTTTGCCTTCGATGCGCCATTTTTGAGTAAAAAAATAAAAACCGTTCTATTGTCCGAGAAAATTAATGTAATAATTGAAGAATGCAATTTAGCAATAAATATCTAGTTGCTCTGGAATATGTCACTGGCTTTTGACATCTGACAAGTCTCTGTTATTCAAATCTGTTCGCTGTGACATCTCTTTCATTATTTAGTTTTTACAATCTTGTTAATAATGGTGAATTATCCAAATGCAGAAATGGCGAAAATGCATTACGTATATGGCCTTGCCGACGGTAAGGGTGAGCAAGTCAGACGGATTTATCACCAGAGATATCCCGATCGTGCTTTGCCAGATAGTCGAACCTTTTCTAATATTCATCGTCGACTTGTTGAAACTGGTTCTGTGCGAAAAGGAACATCTGAAGGTAGACCTCCAAGTGAGAGAGTACCTGAAATTGAGGAAGCAGTGCTGCACGAAGTCGAAGAACATCCTTAAACGAGTACGAGGAAGATCGTTAGACACTTAAATATTTGCCATCAAATAGTTTGGAGAATTTTAGTGGATTTTTTGTTATATCAATATACTTATAAAAGGTTGGGTAGATCTCCTATCGTAAGAAAAAGCTAGATATTGTTTTTCCCAGGTTGATGGTTAAAATTTTATTATTGAAAAAATCTGTAATAATTCCAAAATCATCTCCCATTAAATTTCTTAGCGAACCCCAGTTCTTATCAGTGTAAAATACAGCCATGTCATCCGCAAAGTCAATAATTACTTCTTGACTCCCTGAATAATATTGTCATTTATATAGAGGTTACATAGAATTGGCCCTAAAACTGTTCCCTGTGGTAGACCATATTTTACGTGACGAAGGATACTTTCACACACTTATACCGTTCACTCAAATCACTTTTTAGTAGAACTTATGTATTTTCTAAATAGGCTTCTTCTTATGGCGGAGTGGAGATAAATGGCTTTGATAAATTCTCATATATGACGCTACCGTATTTGGTTCCATCTCGGACATGCCAATACAGCATTAGTTTGGCTATCTTTAGGTAGAATATGTTATTCAACAGAATAATTTCAATCTAAATTCAGCCCATCCAAGATACCCGGGCTTTGCAGAAATGCATCAAATTACAGCTTCTTCATTAAATAATAGTGTTGCCTGCTGCGAGTAGTTTCAATGATCGTTGAATTATTCACCTCACATCGTTTAACATCTTCGTGTAAAGTGTCAATACAGAAATGATACCTTACTCTCTGTGAGAGCCGGTAATTAAATTTAATGGGGTTATGAATAATGTAAATGTGCATTTATTAGACCATGAGTAACGATAAGTTGACATGGTAAGCTTAAAATGTTTGTGCTTTTATTACTTTTTATCCTTCCCTACAATAATTACCTATAAGGTTAGATGCATGCAAAAACGATTTTTAATAATAATTGATTTGTTTATCAACAGTTCAAAGTTTCATTGTAATAATTAATAAGTGGTATCACTAAATATTGATGAAGGCAATAAAGTTCGCAGAATATGCACAAAACCTCGATTGCAATGCATCATATGTTTTACTATTTAATTCTTGATAAGAAACAAACATATCCTAAAATGACACTCAGTATTATTAATTACCAATTAATTATCGAATTACCCGTGCTAAATTTACGTAACATTTTTTTTACTATTTTGATCACTTACTAGTAATTGGAATTTCTCTTTATTGATTATAGAGTGCCCATTCCTAGGCCACACCGTTTTCAATGTCTTTCTTTTGGTAAATTTTATAGTTTGTTGATTGTATAATTTCACACGTTTTATATCTTTCCTTCTCATTAATTTAGTATTGTGTTGAAAAAACTCTGAGATTTTTCTCCGTTACTTGGTTTCCTATCGAGCACATCTTCTTCAGGGAGACTCATTGAACCTTCTTTTATAAAGATAGGTGTTTCGTATCGGTCACTTTCATCCTGAGATTGTGGTGTGAGCGCCATTTGTTTAACCTTCAGATTCTGGGATATTAGGTGCCGAACACCAGTTTGTGGAGTAGTACCCTGTACACATCAGGTCCTTTTTTAAGGGGTGGCTTCCGGCAATATCAGCTGCAAATCAGCTACAAGCAAAGCTGGAGGAGTATGTGGTGGTTCTTCGCAATGCCTTTCCACGCTGAAGACTAAAATCTTATAAGAAAATGGACGGGGTAGCACCAAAACCAAAACAACTAAAAGTAAGGTATAATATGAAGGGATACTACTCCACAAACTGGTGTTCGGCACCTAATATCCCAGAATCTGGAGGTTAAACAAATAAAACTAGACTAATCATCTAGCTTTATAAAGAAAGGTTCAATGAGTGGCCTTGAAGAAGATATGCTCGACAGGAAACCAAATAACGGAGAAAAACCACCGAGTTTTTTTCAACACAATACTGAATTACTGAGAAAGAAAGATATAATACGTGTGATATTATACAATCAATAAACTATAAAATTTACCAAAAGAAAGTCATTGAAAACGGTTTGGCCTAGGAATGGGCACTCTGTAATCAATGAAGAGAAATTCAAATTACTATTAAGTAAAAAAAAGTTTAAGGGTCGGTCATGGTGAAGGTAGTGTAAGTAAGGTTCTGATCCCGGGGTCAATTTATTGTTTATGGTATCAGCTTTAAGATAGATGATAATTTTCATTCATTTGCGATACTTTGGTTTTCAGCTTTTGGCAGGTTTTCGCATAGTTAGACCGATGTGCGTCGTGACCAAGTAAATACATACAAACGCATATTCAATCAGATGATGAGATCAGAGATGACCTTTGATAAAATATGGTTTCAGCAAGGTGTTACAGTCAACAAATATGTGTATCTATAAACAAATATTCAGCGGATAAGAAATGCTCACGAATTAGGAAGAATAACTATAAATATACTATTTTTATTACTGAGGTTCACATTATTTATGAAATCCTTAAATAAATAATAAATTTGATTTAATATTTCTTTACCTTCTCCGAAAGGTGATAATAGAATTGCAGAAAATAAATCCTTCATATTTCTTAGAGTATTATTGTCCTTACCACTGGTGTATAAACATTGAGGTAAAGACAGTCTTCCGAACCAACTATTTGAACTCGTGTGGATCTAGTTTGGACTTCCATGCAAGACACGACGTCCTTTGTTGCATCTACTACTTGCTTCCATTCCTCTGGTGGCTGCGGACTCTGAAGAGTATTCGATCGTTAATATTGCATACATTGAATAACGTCGTATCCTGAAGGTGTATCATCTTTGGTGATTTCTTTTGATATCACTCATTCTTGAGAAAACTTCTTAAATAAGTATTGCGTTAACATTAGATCCTGAAAATCGTTGATATGCGGATAAATCTTCATCAGGATTTTGGAAAAGTATAATCTTTCGCCATATAATAATTGGATGTTTTGATATATATTAAAGTCAAGTATACGAATTTGCTAAATCAAAATTACAAATGCAGAACATCTCTAAGAGTATGGCATTTTCACTTATCTGTTGAATATGTCTGGCATTTGATAATATGTAAATTCTGAATATTGGTGTGAACGGTGCTCGTTATATATGACTCGACCTATACTTTGTTGTCCAATCCAGTATACTTGTAAGTATACTCTTACCTGCTCTCAACTTGACTCAGATGTGGTATTCATTTTGGGAGCTGTTCTACTGCGGCACAACATGTTTTTATTGCTCAAAAGCGATTTGTTAGATCAACGACGCGGATGAGTAACACTCACAGTTCCAAATAACTCTTTAAAAAATATAAAATCTCAACTGTACCTTCTCTGGCGATTCATGACTTAGCGTTATACATCATCCGAAACAAGACCAAATTTACTCTCAACAAAGACATACACACAGTTGCCACAAGGCAGAGTAATAATATACACGCCGATGGTAGGAAATAAATCGGAAAATATACTTAATCCCAACATTTTTAACATCCTTTCAAAAAACATACAAGGAATTGCAAATCAAAATCACTTTAGGTGTAGTTTGAAAGGTTTTTAAATACTTAAATGTTTGTATAATATCTGTGAGTTTATCAGTATTGTTTATTATCTATTTATTGTTTTAAGTCTCTGTATATAGCTACTCACTTACTTTGTCCAAGGAAAACAAATTATTATTATTAATGAGTGACGAATTTGGCGAACATCGCCATAACTGAGTTCTCCATGACAAAGAACAGGATAAATTATAAGTAGTTTAATTCTACATTTTTACTTTATCTGGAATTTTTTAATTATTATAACTTACCCTGAATCTTAAATCCTCAAGTGGTGGTCGGGCAAATGGTATTCCTCTGAATGCAAAATAACGCTTACCGTTTTCTGTTGCCATTTTTCTTCCCTGCACGATGCCATTGGTCGTTTTCACTTGCAGCGAGATATTCTGATAAAAGATTTTCTTTAATTGTACTCTGTATGTTGATGTTAAGATATGTAAGAATAATCAATTCACAGCCTGGGAACTCAGAATAGGGTATAGTGCGATAGTAAATAGTATAAGGGCAACACATAGTGCAGTAGTTCAACTTGCCGCATACTTCGTCTTCCAGGATATACCCTAAGGAATAAATAAATAATAGTTTAAAAACTAAAAAAACATGCTTTTATAGCTAAAAAGTAGAAAATGGTTTTTAATTACAAAGAGTTTATATTACAGTAGTAGATGGTCGAACAATCAATCAAGTTATTATATATACCCATGTATAAAGAATGAATAAGGTGAGAATGCACTACCTTGAGTGTCCGTACCAAGAAAGAGTAAGTCCGAAACTACACGCATGCGCTGATAATGGAAAACTGTTATCAAATTATTGCATTGTTATCGGTGCTCGATACGTATGCGATGTTTCAAATTAATCAAACTTCTGAAAATTGGTGAAAATTATGCTCAAAGATTCCGTTACACACTCGTACATACATACAAGCCAAGCTTATATAGGGTGCGGCAGAGAGGACGGACGTTTTTGGGAGTAGTACTCTCCGCCCCGTCTACGATAGAGGTGGGGAGGGTGCCGTTTGACTCGTGAGATCCTAGCGTTATTTTACCAGTTGTCGTTATGGAGCCTTGGACGGTGGAGCACCGCGTTTTCGCCTATGAGTGATGAAGCCGACTTTCACCTAAACAGCATGGTTAACCAGCAGAATTGTCGTTATTGGGCTAATGAAAATCCGCAACAGTTACACGAAAGACCGCTGCACAGCCCAAAAGTAACGGTTTAGTGCGCTGTATCGCAAACTTGCATCACTGGCCCTTACTTCTTCGAAGACGGTAATGGTCGTGATGTTACCGTGAACTCAGAGCGCTACGTCGACATGATCACCATTGACGTTATTCGCCCTCTCTTCCCTGGTCTCCTTATTTCCAGGTTTGGCGATGTTCATTGGCCTCCTCGGTCCCCAGATTTATCCATATCCATTTTTCTTATGGGGACACCTCAAGGCTAGAGTATACGCGAACAAGCCTCGAACTCTGGACGAATTGAAGGGCGAAATTCGCGTGGAAGCCGCCCAAGTTGAGAAAGCGATGTTGGAGAGAGTCTACGCGAACTTCCAAGAACGCCTCCAGCACTGCATCAACGATTTCGGCCACCACATGTCTGATGTGATTTTCCACACTAGACTGTCTCAAATGCTATTTCCTTGTGAACCCGATTCCATCAAAAAATTTGTTTTCGAGTAAAAATTAACTGTTTTATGATTTTTTTAAAAGCGTCCATCCTCTCTGCCGCACCCTGTATAAGAGCGAGTTAAAAACCGGTACTCTTACAGTAAAGTGAGGATTTTGGGACTAGCCCAGTGCGAGCGGAATTAATTAAAATTGTTGAAGATTTATGAGATGCAAACTAACTTGAAACACGCTGAAGGCCTTTTGATTACTCACAAACTTCTGTACTTTTAGATTATTTTCTCAAAGGATTGGTTCGGAAACCGATTTATAGAATTTTATCAATGTAGTATGACGAAATTCATCAGTAATCCTAAAAATAGTATTTAATTTTCTATTATATTGGGTGGAAAGGCCGTGTTAAACAGCATATTAAAACTTTATATTGGTACTATTGGCTTGTAGTGACGAGATTTTAAAAAACCGAAATAAGCGCGCAATTTTGAAGGACAGAGATACTCGTATAAAGAGCTTCATCCACTTGGTCCCAGTGGTTTTTTCATTTTTAACGATTACTCAGCTTTTCAAGCCCATTAAAAAATATCCAGATGTAGATACCTGCAAATTCACCAGTAAGTAGGAAATTTAATAAATGATCTAAATATTCCTGAGAGAGCAAGTTATTAATTAATAGATCCATTCATCATTAAAATGAGACAGAGACCGAAAAAAAAACATTTACCCTATCAAAACGATGTCTAAATGTTATTGAAATAAGTGATTGTTTATTATTTCATTATATTCATTCATTTCTATTTCATTATTTATATATTACTCATTTATCAAATATTTATTTTTAGTGTATTTATTTTATTTTACTTAACATTTCGATGAACCAAAACAGCATCAAACTAAAACTGAATCCAAAGTTTTACTAATTCATTCCGCACCTCCATACACCATTTTCCACAGTAAGGCCCGGCATTCATGGGATTTTCGAATCTTAAGGCCAAATGTAGTTTTAGTTAGTATGTTGCTGAAAATATATGAAACTGGCGTACTGTGTTCGAATCGTGAGATACTATTATTAATATATTAATACTGATGCAATTTCACGACGAATTTCATATGTTTTTATCAATAAATTACCTTATTTTTGAATCCTCCCGGGTGGTGTTGGCCAACCTTTGTGTTAAGATCAAGCACAATGACATTCCAATTTTATATCAAATGTTTGGGCTATTTAGTTTGTTTTATGTTAGTAACGATATTGCATTTCACTTAATTATCATAAGAAAAAATGTTCTCGGTCATAAATCGGTCTTAAGCAAACTAGTAAACAGTGACATTCAGTCACCGTGCGCGCAGTCCCCGCAAAATACGAGGATGGTCCCAGAAGTACCCGACCCAACGAAGAAAACACAAAATTTTTGTAAAAAAATGTATTGATTTTTCAACATAATCTCCTTGGAGCTCTATACACTTTTCCCAGCGATGTTCAATACGTTTGATATCCTCTTTATAATAAGAACTGTCTTGCTCCTCAAAATAGCCATTAACTGCCGACATCACTTCTTCATCGTTGGAAAATCTTTGACCACTGAGCCATTTTTTCAAGCTTGGGAACAGAAAATAATCCAAGAGGGCTAAATCTGGTGAATAGGGTGCATGAGGTAGCAATTCAAACTTTAATTCGTTAATTTTGGCCATTGCAATAACGGGTTTGTGAGCTGGTACATTGTCTTGATGAAACAACACTTTCTTCTTAACCAAATCCGGCCGTTTTTGCTTGATTTCATCGCTAAAACGTTGCAATAAGTTCGCATAATACTCGCCGTTGATAGTTTTACCTTTTTCAAGATGGTCAATGAAAATTATCGCACACGAATCCCAAAAAACCGACGCCATAACCTTGCCTGTAGATGAAACGGTATTCGCCGTCTTTGGAGCCGGTTGTCCCTTTTGAGTCCATTGTTTTCATTGTTCTTTTGTCTCGGGTGTGCAGTGATGGACCCATGTTTCATCCATGGTTATGAAATGACGCAAAAATTCTGCTTTGTTGCTGTGAAACTTCGCTAAACACTCAATTGAAACATCTCCACGACACTGTTTTTGCTCGATTGTGAGCAATCGCGGCACCCATCTTGCACACCTCTTGCTCATGTCCAAATTTTCAGATGATAGCGATGAACCGCACTTTTTGAAATGCCTGTTATGTCTGCTAGCTCGCGCGCTTTCAGTCGGCGATTATTTAGTACCGCTTTGTGAATTTTTTTCGTCACCTCATTTGATCGACCACTGCGATGCTCGTCTTGGCAGCTCATACGGCCTCGTTTAAACGCTGCTACCCAATATTTTACTGTTGTAAACGAAGGAGCAGACTCACCCAGAGTAGAATCCAGTTCAGCTTTTATATTGGTTGGGCTGAGGCGTTTGAAATAAAAGTACTGCACCACATAACGATGACCAATTTAATCCATCTTCACAAATTCACTGAAAACGTTTAGTATTGATGGCTGCCAAACAAATACTAAACAACGTGGCGTTTTCAAACTTGACACATACGCTTTATAGATTGCATACTTTCTAATACAATGATATTTTTCAAACAACTATCCCCAACTCTAGGTCAGGCCGGGTACCTCTTCGACCACCCTCGTACATGGCCGCGAAATGGAGTTCTAAAAATAATCCAAATCCATATAACACTACAAGTTTATTTGTACTTAGTGAGGGAAGAATAGGGTAAATATTTCGGGTTCCGGTTCTTCAGTCAGATTCAAAATTCTAGAAAATCCCAGGACGTTCAGGACAGGAACTTCCCGGAACTGTTCCCTAGTATCACATCACCGTGGAATTACGCCGTATACAGGGTGTTACAGAACGTTGCCACGAAAATGTAAGGGCAGAGTCAACATGTTAGAATCATTAATCATGTGTCCCGAAATCTATGATTTCATGAAAAACAAGTGGTGAACTGCACTGATGCTTAACGTGACCTTTCAAAATACCAGAATCTCAATCTGTTTTCGAGGAACGTAAGGTGAATTGTCTCAAGGTACAAGTTTGATTACACGTTATGTGATAACGGAGCATTTAAGCTGCCTTTAATTTTCGTGACCACATTCTGAAGCAACCTGTAGAGTTAAGCCGGGGGCGATCAGCAGTGGCCTTGGCGATGAACGTCACGATGAGTTACGCAGCGAGATGAACTACTTCACTATGTTTCTTTGCCCTTTCATCAGGTGGAATGACTGTAGCATCTAGAAAAACACCTTTACATGTCTGACGTCAAGAGCAATACAATTAGTCGGTCAGTCACTTTTAGAGCTTGCTGCCAACTTTCATAAAACGCTTTATGTAAGCTTCTGTTGGTTGAGTTAAAATATACCACATCCACGGAAAATAGACAAGCCACAGTCAGTTTTCAAGAGTTGATAGAAAGAAATGGTTACACGAAAAAAAAAATAATAGAGTCACTAAATAATCAAACATAAAGCATTTTTACTTTAAAGCAGGTTTAACAAAAAATAAAACAAGTAAAGAAAAGTTACATCCGCTGCTCTGCTTGACTTCTTCTCCAACTACATCCTTAAGTAATTAATAAGAATACTAGTGAAGCAGCTAGTGTCAGACCGAAACTAGTATTTCTGCAGAAACTGAAACCTAAATTTCGGACAAATCTTTCAACTGAGAAGTATGATATCTAATATGGGAGGTTGATACCTCAGATAGTACCTAATGTATCTCTAAGAAAATCTAAAGTCAGTCTATATCAATAATAAGTAATATTAATAGCAGTTTAATATTGAAGAAAAAAAACAAACTCTATTATAATATGCAATAAACAGCCGTTATCAAATACTTAAGGGCCGTTAGTCCTTCAATTGTGGATGCCTTCATGACCTCTATGATTTTCATAGTTTTCTGCAGTTCTATCTCAGCGCTTTATTTTCAGGTTATCTATTTACATCAAATTGTTCATGCTTTTGATTAATATCATCTGTTATCTCAGCCTCAAATTTGCTACAATTCAAAAAGAAAACATAGCCTTACAATAGGAGTCTAAAAACACAAAATAAATAATATCGTTTTGTCTCCAACAGTTTGTAAAAGAGAAACAAGCAGTAAAACAAAAATAACAGCTTGTTGCTCGTTGCATCAATACTACGAGCCCCTTCCCACTTCAGTTGGCCCAACTATTGAAATCTTAGTTTTTTTCTTATCAAACACAAATAATAAAAATGTAGCAGGGTGTTATAGGTTTAAAATATTAACAATGAATATTTTGATAATATATAGTAGAAAACACCAACTCTATCACTCCCTAATCAAATTTGCAGCATAAAAATAACACATGTTGCAATTTCAGCATATCAACCTATTTATTTTCATTTCAATTTAAAATAAGTCTATAATGCATAGGTGGCTGTGAAAAATAAAAGCCATGACAACTGTTTTTATTAATCACAGGTGTCAGAATTCGTTTAAAATAGTTTCGGGTAGTTAAGGTTTTCAAAATGGGTAGAGGAAAGGTTATTAGTGAGAAAATTCTGTTACTGATAATTAAATTTTTTAATTCTGGGAAATCAAACTCAGAAATTGCAACTTTGTTAGACTTATCGCGGTACAGGGTGAGAAATATTGTTAGAAGATATAAAGTAACTGGTTTAGTTAATATTAAGCCACGATATGTGAAAAAAAGTAATATCACAAATGCCGACCGAAGAGCATTAAGAAGAATAATCGTGAAAAACAGGCGTGCCAATTATTTACAATTAACTGCTCCGTGGAGTGACGCTGTTGGAAGGAGAATTTCGAGATCCACAACTTATAGAGAGGCCCACAAACTGGGATTTAGCATTTGCAATGTAAGTTTTCTTATAAAAAAAGGTGAAGTAAAAACCCTAAAGTTGCACAACTCGTTTATAGGCCAAAGAAAAGCCACTATTAACTCCACTGCAAAAGAAAAATAGACATATAGACAATGGACACCTCAACAATGGTGTGCAATACAATGGAGTGATGAGGCCCGATTCGAAGTTTTTTTTGGTGACAGTCGCAGTAGAGTTATTCGCAAAAAAATGAAGCATTCCATGTTGACTGTCTGAAGAGAAAAGTGAAATTTCCAGCATCCATTATGGTCTGGGGCAGTATGTCATCAAAAGGAGTAGGGAAACTTCATTTTATTGATGGAAATGTGGATACAAACAAATATTTGGCAATTGTAGAAGAAAGGCTTTTACCAGTGATGGAAGAATGTTTGACATCCGGCCAAGATTTTGTGTTTCAGCAAGATGGTGCAGCGTGCCATACCTCAAAAAAAGCTATGAAATGGATGGAAGAAAATAATGTACCACTTCTGAAATGGGTTTCTAACAGTCCAGATCTGTCACCTATTGAAACTTTGTGGCACGAGGTGAAAAAGGTTCTACGACAACATCCTGCTCGTACAATCACCGAACTGAGACAAAAGCTTCAAGAAATATGTGATTGTTTTACACCAAATATTTGCCAAAACTTGGTTAACACTATGCCCCAAAGAATTTCAGCCCTAATAAAAATAAAGGTGATGTTACCCAATGGTAATCTTTCAATTGTTGCTTTGTTAACTTCGCGCATTTATTCGCACATTGTTTATTTGTTCAGATGTTCTATTAGTTATAGGTCCAAGTGCTTTCAAATATGTATTTTTTACGACTAGAGTGTACCTAAAATGTTTTTGAGAAAATAAATTGTTTAAAAGAGTTTCGTCATGTTTAGTATATTAAGGCATATTTTGGTACAAATCTTGAAGTGGGCAAACTGAAGTGGGAAGGGGCTCGTATTTAACGTTAGTTTAGAGGGAAACCATTAATATGAAGATCTTTATTGCAAAAGTACAACCTTGTTTGAAATTTTGTAAGCCGTGTCTAATTCATATTTAGTCTTCAAACATGGATTTTATTGGAAATCGTATTTTAGAGGATGATTCATTTAACCAATAAATAGTAGTTTTCTGGAAGAATTAACAAATACCAAAGACAAAATCTATTTCCAAGAGATTAGTATCTGTGATATATTGTATACAAACAAACTGTTTTGAATATTCTGCCGGCAACTGAGACTGAGCTGAAATTCCTCAATTATTTATGAGAAAACATACGAACGTAATTTCGCTTTCTGTTGCAGTTTTGAAAGATTTTATGAAACCAAAACTGAACCGAAACCGAATGTTTGATCGGAAGCAGCTACTGAGATTAGATGGTGGAAATAAGCTGAAGATAAATGTTAATCGAGAACAAAAGAAAACAAATTATAGTTTGGGGCTGATTTTACATTCTTGTGTTTTGCAATTAAAAAATATATGTTCTGCTTCGATCTCGCGATATTGCTCTTTAAATCTCTTCATCGCAAAATTCACTGATTGTTCGCAACCACCGGAATACTACAAGATGACAGTAAAGGAAAAGACCAGGTTACAAGGCAACAGACTGACAGACAGACAGATTTACCGGTGGATATAAGTTCTCTGTTTGCAAAGTGCGAGGAATCAAAGAAAAATCTTTCAGATAGTAATCATTAATCAAAATCGACCAATTGTTTACTGAGATAATGCGCTGTCGAAATCAACAGCAGACAAACGAAAAGACACGTAGGAAAGCCGAACAGAAAATGTTGACAACGATTCGTGTCTTTAACTTAGAAATAGCCATGCTAAAAGCGGGAAATTGAACTGTCCATCACAACAGGCAATGTTGAATTAAACAAATATGTAAACTTACATATTCGCGTTTCGGTAAAAACGTAACGGCTCCCACTTGCAGGATCGACAACAGAACGACACTAAAACGGTACATGCTTTGCGACCGAGGAATGAAATCCTGATTCCGCGATTCACCTTATACTTGTTCCTTTGAAGTGATTATCAATGTCATAAACAAACCAAAAAAATACAACGCGTATGTTTATCGCTTGTATTTTGGACTTGCGCCGCACCAGAGGTGCAATGGTTGCGGTTATTTTGTGGATTATTCTCATAAAACTCTTTAATTAAGGCAATGGTTCTATGACTAGGGCTATGAACAAATCTAAGCAAGCAAAAGTCGATCGACTAAGAATCTACGTGTGGTTATTACCACACCGCGGAATTTGATATTCTGTTTTCTGCATATTTCATGCTATATACACGTTATGAAAACTATCCCCTTTTTCATCGATATATCTGTCTTTTTTTGATAGGTCAGTCTGACTGCCTTGTTGGTAATCTTACACACTTCTACAAGTTTTTGAGCATGGTTGGACTTATCATCAAACAATTATATAAATAATCGAAAAATTCATTGAAATTTAGAAAAAAATGTGTCCCACATTATTATCAACCTGTGAGCGTAAGAGTTTTTAAGAATCGACATAATAATTATCATCAAATATTACTAAGATTTAGATCAGTCGATAGATCGGCAATTAGAATTGAATCAGTCATTTCAAAACCCACTTGGTCCAAATACTCTTTTTACTGAACACCAATATGCGACCAATAAATGTTCACCAGATGTTGAAAAAGTTGGAGGGAAATAAAATTTAAACTAAATTTCAAGCTGTATTCAGGAAGAAAAACTCAACTGAAACGGCAATACAAATAGTTTTAGAGGACTGGAGGAGATGTATGGACAATAGGAAACATAGAGTAACAGTGTTTTTGGACTTTAAAAGGGCGTTTGAGACTATTGACAGGGATACATTGCTTACAAAATTGCATCACTACGGATTTAAAGGACCTGTATTCAAAATTCTACAAAACTACTTAATTGACAGAAGTCAAAAAACCAAAATTGGATCTACATTATCAAGGTCAAAAACTATTTCTGTTGGTGTACCACAAGGTGGTAACCTAAGTCCACTACTATTTATTTTATACATTAATGACATTTGTAAAATTTTAGATTATTGTAAAATTCAGATATTTGCAAATGATACATTAATATACTCGTACATATAGTATCAGATCAAAATATAGACACAGCTTCAAAAATGCTAAATTCTGACTTGGCAAAAATCATGAATTGGTTAAATCTAATTAAACTAAAATTAAATACTCTAAAACAAAATTTATGCTAATAGGGAAATACCTAAATGAAAATACTATCACAGTTACGATAAATGGTGAAATAATTGATAATGTTGAATCAATTAAATATTTAGGTATATATATATAAAAAAAATAGGAAAATATTGGGCAAAATCCGCAAAAAGAAGGAAAGTTTATTCGGGAAGAAAATAGGATAGGTAACCCGAGCGATACGTATTTCTGCTGGTTGGCTTCATCAGGCCCGGAATGAATGCACATATGCAACTACAAAAGTAGATACACATGCCAATACATCCGGATACAGGTGTAACTTGAAGAAACGAAGTTGGATGCCGTCAATTCAAAAGGTTCCCTACACTATGCGGGAGGTAACATTCATTCAGGCATAAGACCGTAAGACGAGTACTCTTGTCGCTCGACATCAACAGAGCTTCTGGCCCGGACTAATTCCTGCCATTGTACTGAAGAGGTGTGCAGCGGAGCTTGCTCCATTTCTTTCGGGTCTCTTCCAGATATCTTATGAATCTGGCACCTTCCTAGAAAACTGGAAATTTGCTCATGCCCAGCCCATCCCAAAAAAGGATCTAAGATCGACCCTACAGGCCTATAGCTCTGCTTTCTGTTATAAGTATGGTGATGGAGAGATGCATAAGTCGTGAGCTTCTGGACTTCCTCGAAGGTCACAGCTTGATTAGCGACAGGCAGTATGATTTCCGGCACCAACGATCCACAGGGGACCATCTAGCTTACGTCACGCAATTGTGAAGTAAACTGACATCCAGTCTTATGGTGAGGCTCATGTCGTTGCACTTGACATCACGAAAACGTTCGATCAGCTGTGGCACGCTGCCCTCTTAAGCAAACTTCCATCCTATGGCCTCCCAGAAAAGCTATGCAGATGGGTGGCTGACTTTATCTCTGGCCGCAAGATATCCATCTTAATTGAAGGATTCTCCTTTTCATCCCACAACGTCAACGCGGGTGTTCCTCAGGGATCGGTCTTCTCTGACACTGTTCCTCTTACATATCAACGACCTCCTTCCCTGCACGATCGACTCAATCCACAGCTTCGCTGATGACGGCACATGCAGGAAATTCAGAGTGACAAGCCGATCTCTGCCGCTGAGCTGGAAAAAAGAAGACTAGTAACGACTTCTTCTCTGACCTGAGACCTGGGGGCTATCACTGCTTGGGGGCGCAACAATCTTGTACAGTGTAATGCTTCCAAAACGCAGTACTGTACTTTGACGAACAAAAAGCGTCATAGCGCTCATTCGGTTTCTCTAGATGGCCGAGTCCAGATCACCGAGGACCTGAGCTGGCACGAACACATCTCGTCAATAGCTGCAGCTGCTGGAAAAAAGCTAGGCTATTTGTTTATGGCTAAGAAGTACTTTTATCCGCATGACCTTCTCACTCTATACAAGGCCCAGATGAGGCCTAGCCTCGAGTAATGATCTCACGTTTAGGGTGCTGCCGCCCCGACTACATTATTTATGCTCGATGCTGTCCAGATAAGCATGGGACTTTTTCATACCGGCGGGCCGTCGGCGATCTAGCTCTTTTCTACCGCTACACTAACGGGCTTTGCTCCTCAGAGCTCTCTTCCATGATGCCGCCGCGCGATGTGCCTGCCAGACAGACCCGCCTGACTTTGGCGTCCCATCCTAACCGTGTCGAACTTCGTACATCCAGAACTGGCCGCTACGACCGCTCCTTTGTCCCGAGGTTGTCGAGATTGTGGAACAATCTTCAAGAGGCAGCTTTTGCCAGTTCACCTACATTAGGCACTTCAAAAATCGTATTAACAAAATTTCTTTGGGATCATCATAGCAGCTGCAGTGTTCCGGCATTTAGGCTTCAGCCTGCGTGGCTGCTTCGATATAAAAAAACAAGTCTCTCATTTCCGACGGTGTGTCTGTCTGTCGGTCTGTCCGCTAATATTACAACTGCCTATAATTTGAGAATTACAGATCGGATTTTGATGAAATTTTCACGCTATGTTACTACTATACCAAGCACGCAAAAGCTTTACAGTTTTTGAAATTCTGTCCAGTGGTGGAGGAGCTAGGGACAACAAGACGAAAAAGAAACCCCCAAACTCCGTTGCTTGATGTTTCAGAGGCTCTTGATCATGTCCAGGAAATTTTTTGTAGGTGTTGAAAATGTGGCTCGTAAAACATGTCCCCTTGATTAGAATATGGAAAAATTTGACACAATAGCATTTGTCGTAGCTTAATATTTTGAACTAGCCTTAAATAAAAATAAATAACCAAATTGCGTTTTTCACATAAATCCACGCATTTATATTAAAAATGACATTAGGGACTGGTCAAGGGGTCGAGCCAAAGGGGGAGGCAAAAACTGATCAAAGAAAACTGTATATAACATTTCTAAAATACTTGCAATTATACAGGGTGTCCTAATTTTGCCCGATCAAGCTATCCATGATGGTCCAATAGTGGTTAGTTCTCACTTTATTGATATAAAATTTCTATTTCAGTGACTTCAATATTACTAATTTTTAGCGCAGCCCAAGGCCAACAGCGAGTACATACTGAGTCAGGGATGAGGTTAATCATTATTAAGTTCGCGAGCTTGATTCACTCACTTTTGTCATTTCAAAGGTCAGCAAAAAAATTAACTTGGACTTAACGGTCATGATCAACATTTAATATTGGCATTGATCATTAGCCATTCGACTATTGTAGACCACTGTGGAATGTCCCATTTTTTTATTTCCGTAAGGAAAAATGGTGCGTCTTATCGAAAAGAAGTAACTTGATCTTGACGTGATCTTTGAGGTTATGGAAGTGGTCAAAATTCTTACTTTAGTTGTAGTCAACGTTCTTGGCAAGTCAAAGTAAGACTACCAGTATCCTTTATATACCTCCATCTCCCTCATACATACACATGCAACCTGCCCCTGTGTGTGAACTTTGTTCGATAAGCACAAAGACACACGTCTTTTTGTTGTACGTCTCCGTCTCGAAAACTTTGTCATTACGTATGAGTGCCCTTAAATCATATTTGTCAGAGTGACAACTTATCTGACATCGGCGTGCAATTCGAGTTGTTCTGTTGTCAATCTTCAATATAAAATTGTACAATGCCCGGTAATACGATCAATGGAGAAGGCCGACAGCTCGTGCTAAATTTATTAGAGTATTTCCAGAAAGAGGATGAGAGTATCAGATGCGCAGTGTACAGCGAATAAAATCAGAAAATAAGAAAAGTTTGCCCATTGTAACACCTAGGGAAACACACAAAGTTAAAAAATGCATGACCGATGAAGTGATGCCGTCAAAACAGAAATTAGGGATACTTTCCATCGATATGAGAAGTAAAGGACAACATATCACGACCTCTGCGCTCAATCAGGAGCTTAAAAAGGCACAACGCCTCGGATTCAAGTTTAAGGCGTCTATTGGCTACAAGACAGAAGATAACCGCTGACTCTTGTGTAAAAAATCAGACATTGTTTCCAAACGTATCTATGTTATAAGATTATATGAATAACCTGAGTAGTACAAGCCCTCCAATGCGTTTTCTTAGATGAAACGTGGATATTTGCAAAGAGTCGTTTAAACGAGTTTGGCAAGATAAAAACGTAAAGGGTTTGAATAGGGGCCGTCAGGGTACTCCATGCTGGACAAAGATTTTTTCAAAATATGGGTATGTGAGAACCTGATACCAGCGTTACAAGAGCCATCTTTAGTAAAAATGGATAATTCCTTTTATCATAGTACCTTAACCGAAAATATATCCAATTCCAGTTGGAGTAAAATGCAATCGAAGCAACGGCTGCAAGACAAAACATT